AGTGGTTCTCAATATTCGCTACATCCAAAGAGCTTTAATAGTTTATAGGTCCTTCCCCCAGAGATTTCTGATATAATGGGTTTAGAGAACAGCTTAGACATCCAGATTTTTAAATACGGCCTGTGTGAGCGCCTAAGGTTGGCAATCACTGGTAGAGGAAGTGGGAAGCCACTGAAAAGTTTTCATTTTAAATAGATAATGACAAAATCTTGAGGTCAGCAGGTGGCATGGTGGTTAAGGTGCTGGACACTCCCATATGGCCGACCACCTGGACCTGGTGGCTTGGTTCCTCACTCCCCCACCCCACCCCCCGTGTCTCTCTCTGGTCAGATTAAAATAAATTAATGAATAATAAAATTAAATAATTCTTTAAAAAGTAGATAATGACAAATTCTAAATTGATTGTAAACTTAGGCAAGAAGAACTGTATACTTTATTAAGATAGTGGTAGCGGGACCAACAATTGGCATAATGGCTATGTCGCTGGACTCCCACGTAGTCCCTGCGGTTTGAGTCCCGGACCCAGTGGCTTAAACTCATGCCAGGTGCATGTGCGTGCGTGCCCAAGGTCCCGAGAGGAGAATGGAGGAGAAGGGATTGTGGTGTGGCCATCTCCCCCAGGGGGTGATTTCTCGCTTTCTGTCTCTCTCTCTCTGTCTTTCTGGCAAGCACACATGTCCTATAGCAAAAACCTCTCAAACAAAACAAAACAAAACAAAACACCATAAGTCTAATGCTGCCAGAAATATCATTGCCCAGCTTGGCTGACCGGGTGAAAGGTAGTAAGAAAGGTCATTGGTCAGGAAAGAATTGCTAGGAGTATTTGAGTTTTTGGGCAGCAGGCCTTAAGTCAGTTGTTCCTAGTCTTTTTATAAATAATCTTCTTTTTAATAATTTTTAAATTTAATTTACTTATTTATTTATCTTTATTTGACCAGAATAAGAGAGAGAGAGAGAAAGCACGCCGCTAGATCCAGGAATTGAACCGCGGTGGGCCATGTGGGAGTCCAGCGCCCTTAACCACGATGCCACCTGCCAGCCCCAATCCTAGTCTTTTTTAGTCCTAAACATGATGAGACTGATTTCAGAAGGGAGCCTGAGGGCTAGCTCAGAGGTGCAGGGGTATGTGTCAAGCTGATCAAGTAGCTGGATTCTTCCAATAGCGATAGGTTTGGTTCCCTAGTCAAGCTATACATCTGAACGGCACTTGTCATCCTAGCTGGCTGGAAAAACTGGAGAGATCACAGCTTGACAGCCTTTTGAGAGTGCTCATCCCTCTGTCTCTCTCATGAAAGCAATAAATAAACTTTAAAAAAAAATAAAAAAGAAAAGATCTTGAGTAATCATTTCTGTTATGGCCAGAGCCAATGCTTATGTCTAGTAAGTGTTTGCACCCAGGCTGTGGCATGACTGAATGGAACAGGATCGCCAGGACTGTAAGTGGAGTTAAGTGAAGTGGCAAATTGGAAAGAGCCCAAGTTTTGGAATCAACTTTGAATAATAATTCTCTCTCTCTCTTTTTTTAAGAATGATTTTATTTAACTTTATTTATTTTTTACTTATTTTAATTTGACCAGAGAGGGACAGCATGAGCAAATGAGAGAGAGAAAGTGAGAAAGCAAGTCGCCAGGTCCAGGACTCAAATCACGCTTGGCCATGTGGAAGTTCCGTGTCCTTAACCTCACCACCTACTGGCCCCAGAATTCTGCTGCTTGTCTCTTACTAGTCATGTGACCTTGAGCAAGTATCCCTCCACCTTGCTCAAGATCAAGGGCCCCTAGACAGTAGAAGATTAAGAAAAAAATAATAAATATGGCATTGTATTCTACTGTCTAACAAACAAAAGCAAATAGAAAAGCAAACAAAAGCAAATAGAAAATAAAAGTTCTTGAAAGCAACTTCTTTGGACACACCCAGTTCAATGAACAACACCCCCCCCCCAATCTAACCTTTTCTTGTGCCTCTGGGCAAATTTTCCCACAAATCTTGTAAAGAGAAGTTTTCAAACCAGCCATTACTGCCTTGAAATGTAAATTGTTCAGGCATGTGCTATTGATGGCCTCTTTTTCTCACTTGTCTCTGTTTCACAAGTCTTAGCCTCTGCCAGGTGTTTCCACAAAGTATTTTTGTGCTCAGGGCATGTTTTTCTGAACCTGGCCTTCTGTACAGATGGGACATTTCTCTGTGCTTTCCCTCCAGGTCATGGGAAAAAGGAAGTAACTGAAAATTTTGGATTAACTAATAGGAAATAATTTTGCACCAAAACCCCCATTAGAGGAGAAGGGATTGTGGTGTGACTATTTGCCACACTGGTGTGTGTGTGTGTAGGAGGGGTGCTTTCTCCTCCTCCTGGCAATAAAAAAAAATTGGTTTTTTTGAGAGTTTTGCTAATAGGGCATGTGTGCTTGCCAGAGAGACAGAGAGAGAGAGACAGAAAGCAAGAAATCACCCCCCCTCAGGGTAGATGGCCATGCTGCCATCCCTTCTCCTTCATCCTCCTCCTAGGATTTTGGGGATACACGCACAAGTGCCTGCCTGGTATGAGTTTTACGTCACCCAGTCCAGGACTCGAATAGCAGTCGACTACATGGGAGTCCAGTGATGTAACCATTACACCATCTGCTGGTCCCCCCACCCCCAATTTTTTTAAGAGAGATTTTTTTGCTATAGGGTGCTGCACTCACCAGAGAGACAGAGACAGAGAGACAGAAAGTGAGAAATCACCCTTGGGGGTAGGACTGGCCATGCCACAGTCCCTTCTTCATTCTCCTCTCAGGGTTTTGGGCACACACTCACACGTGTCCAGCATGAGTTTTAAGCTGCTGGGTCTGGGACTCAAACTGCAGTCAATTATGTAGTATCCAGCAACGTAGCCTTTATGCCATCTGCTAGTCCCAATTTTTAAAATGTTAAGGGAACCCCCATTAACAAGCAATGAAGGGCCAGCATGGAGGTTGGAGTGATGGCAGATGGCATAGGGCTTAAGGCGACTAGATCCTAGATGGGCAAGTTTACTCCATTGGAGTCCTGGACCCGGCAGCTTGAAAAACAAAACCAGCAAGTATGCATGTGTGCCCAAGAACCCAAGGAGAGAATGGAGAAGAGAATGTGGCATGGCCATTCCCTCTGGGAGGTGATTTCTCACTTTCCCTCCTTCTCTGACTCTCTCTGCAAGTGCATGTACCCTATAGCAAAGCTTAATTTTTTTTTTTAATAAAAAGACAAGCAATGGAGGTTGGCCCTTTGGCACAGTGGTTAGGTACTGCCTAGAGAAAGCTAGATCCCACAAATCTGACAGGGATTCAAATCCCAGTTTTGACAGCTTCACACTGTGTTCACAGCTACGCCCAGGATCCTTATGAGAAGGAAAATAGGAAGAAAAGGATTGCAGCAATAGCAAGGTCCTGTTGGGGAGTGCTCTCTCTCCTTTCTCTCAGTCATGTACATGTGCTTTCTAGAATGAATAATTTTAAAAAAAGGGGGGGGCAGCAGATGGTGTGGTGGTTAAGGTGCTGGACTCCCACATGGCCGACTACAGCTTAAGTCCTGAACCTGGTGGTTGCTTTCTCACTTTCCCTCTCTCTCTTTTGCTGGTCTAATTAAAAAATAAATAAATAAAATTGTACAGATGATTCTTAAAAAACACACACACAGAGTGATGGGTGGGACATTATTAAGAGCCGGACTTTAGGGACCAGCAGTTAGCCTAATGGATATGTCGCTGGACTCCCATGTAGTAGACTCCCATCAGTCCCGAGTCCGGGACCGATGGCTTAAAACTCACATGGGGCGCATGGGCATGCGTGCCCAAGACCCCGAGAGGAGAATGGAGGAGAAGGGATTGCAGCGTGGCCATCCCCCAGGGAGGTGATTTCTCGCTTTCTGACTCTCTGTCTCTCTCTGTCTGGCAAGCACACGCTCCCTATAGCAAAAACCTCTCCAAAAAAAAAAGAGCCTAACCTTAGAACCAGGCTACATTTCTGGGGTTTCAATCTACCATTTCAATCATTTCCGAACTATGTATGGCACTTGGAACAAATTACTTTTCCCTTTGTACCTCAGTTTCAAATATCCAAAGGTTAATGTGATAATGAAATGAATGAATATTTGTAAAGCCCTTAGAACAGTCCTGGCACACAGTTTAAAGTTCTCTTTGCTGGGACTAGTTTCACTCACCATTAGACCATTAGTTCGCACTGCTGGATGATACTCTGCCTCATTCATCCTTTCTACCTCGAATGGGCTTATGGCTTGGTTGCTGGGAAGGTGTGTGGCTTTATTACTTGTAGTAGTAGTCCTTTTCCCAATCAATGCATGGACCAGAATTTATAGAGATGTTTGGGTGCTACCCCAGAGTGGCTAAGTGACGGGAAGATGTTTATCATTTTCATACACTTAACACCAGGTAGTAAATGCCCTTGAAGGAAAATTTTATGTATACAATAATCTACTTTACTTCTCTTCCTATGGGAAGGGAATTGGGATGGAGACAGAAGTTAAGGAGTTTTCTTTCCAGGGATCTGCCTCCAGTTAGAAGGAAGTCTGAAGTCTGCTCTTGTGTGGAAATCCAAAGGCACCCCCAAAACCCTCTAGCTGCCCAGCGATATGGTGGAACTTGTGAAATGCAAGACACTCTCGCATCAGGCTTAAAAACATTCTAAGATCTTCCAGTCAGCCCCTGGCTCATTTTTCTCTTCATTGGGAAGGTACTGGCAACCTGGTGACCTTTTAGGTTTCTATTTAAGTGTATGGCATGTGAAACCTGGCCAAGGGGAGGTGGGTTGCTTATTTGGAAAAGGATAAGCTTGTATACCAGAAGACACCCCAACTCGGAGTATGGCCTGACTTCCATTGAACCCCGATGAGCTCTTTTCTTGCCCCGCCTTTATTTGCGCTGCTCCTAGCAACGCCTTTAGTTCTGCTTGCAGCCAGACCCTTTCGCGGAAACTCGGGGGGAGATAAGAATCACTGAACTGCAACTGCGCATGCGTCCGGCGTTGCAGGCTGGAGCCGCCGGACCGCCAGAGCCCTAGGGTGTAGCGGTCAGTGCGCTTGCGCAGGAGGCCAGTCGGCTGGTAAAGCCGGTCGACGCGGCCGGGGCCGGGCTGTCAGTGCGCCTGCGCGAGGGCTGGGCGCTGTGGTTCTTGACTGTGCAGCGCGGAGCGCCGGGTGTAGCCATGCCGCGAGAGGACCCGGAGCAGCCCACCAAGCGGCCCCGGTGCGATGACAGCCCTAGAACCCCACCGAGCACTCCTTCCTCAGCAGTGCACAGGTCCACGGGCCCAGAACAGCACCCTGACTATAAGACCTGGGGCCCGGAGCAGGTGTGCGCCTTCCTACAGCGCATTGGCTTCAAAGAACCCAGGCTGCTGGAAAACTTCCGAGGTAGCGGGGCCGGAGGTGCTGAGGGCGAGGGATGGCGACCCGAGGCGGGGGCCGGCCGGGCCTGAGGAAATGGCGCTCTGACGGAGGGGACCTCATTAACGGGTGTGAGGCCACGAAGGGAGATGTGACGCGGGAGGCACCCAGAAAGAGCAGACCTACAGCGGGGGACGGCGTGCGAAGGAAGACCTGCGGCCGAGAGCTCCCCTGGGAGGGCCCGGCGGGGAAGGGAGACCTGAGACAGGGCGCCCAGAGGGGAGGACCTGAGATGGGGGCCCCCAGAGGGGTGGACCTGAGACGAGGAGGGGGGGTGGAGGTGGGCGCCCAGAGGGGTGGACCAGAGACGGAGGGGGCTGGCC